CTCATTGATAAGGCAATGCAAAAGCTTGGAATTGTACTGTTTTTGCTGGACTGTCTAATTTTAACTTTATCAAAAGGACACCACAAATGAGCTGTTGATGAATGTCTCGACAAGGCAATTTATTGTTCTGTTTAAAAGAAAAATCACTTTTAATAGTGGGTGAAATGCAAGTAACTTTACCAAAACGCAAAGGTATATATTGGTAAAAACTCTTACCACTTAAGAAGCACTCTGCTGACAAGCACTGTGGAATGATTTACATAAAAATGGAAGATTAGTCAAAGCTAATGATCAAAAAAAGGTACGTCTTTTGTCTAAGAGTTCAAACTTCCCTGTCTCACTAATGCAGTGAGAAAGACATTTCAAATTATAGCAGAAACTGCCAGGGCACTTTTTACATTAGACACTGTCAGGGTTTATACAACCCAACAAGTCAGAAACATTAATAAAAGTCTATGAGTGTATCAGTTGCAGCTCTGCCTTTCTTTGTACAAAGAATATTGGTAGTTAGCCTTAGACCATTAGCAAAGCTTTTGAATTGATCAAGTCAATGTGACAACCTGTGATTCCCTATCAGTCTACAATTCCTCATTTAATTCTAACACCTAGAAAATCTGCGCCACTAAGACAGTTTGCACACGGCAATCAAAACTATTCTTAGCCTGTGCTCTTCAGGCAAAAGCCCGAATTATCACCAATCAAATTCATTTAACCCTTTGTGGCAAGTGTCCTCCAATTAGCTAAATAATCCCATACTGGTCACAGAAGTACAGCGCGCCGAAAGCCTGGATTCAGTCTGTTCTAATAAGTCAGAGTCTTCAAACTGCTGGTAAAAAACAACAGCAAGTGGCTGGAGCGCATAGCAATAATAACAACCACCATGGCCTGCAGACCATTGCGACAAGTTAAAAATTAAAAAAGTAGGGTCAGATATAGAAAGTGGAGAATCTGAATCTTTCATGACAGACAGGGAAACTGGTGAAACTCCTGCTGCAGAGAAGTTTGATCCATTTCAGCCTTTGAAAATTCCAGGGTACTGCTGCAATAATATAGGTTTTTATACATCATTGAATCTGTTTATTTTTCTTCATCATCAGTAACGTTTATCCAAAAACCTGCACATGTGCGAAGCCTAAAATTGCTCAAACTGCACTGTAGCAAACATAAAAGGTATGCTTGATTACTGGAAAGCGGTTCATCAGAAAAAATACTGCCATTTTCTTCCACTACATTTCATACTAATTATCCTATCAAGGCCAGCAAACACAGCATGATAAACACTGCATATTAGAGTTCTGAATTTTATCATACATACCGTATCGTATGTCAGGGAGCAAATTCTAAAAGCTCCAGGGGCAAACCTCTCAGTTACAGGCAAGCCGAGAGCCCTAAGTCATTTATTTACACCTGCCAGTCAGCAGAGCCCCTCAGCAGCCATCAAAACCGTTGAAAAATCTCTGTCGGTCTTGGCAGAACATTCCCGAACCTCATGACCTGTCCTTTCAAAAGGCGCCTACAGAAACACCATCTGGTTGTGTAAATTATTACCCTGCCTAAGACTGCATGACCACAGGTCAGCAGCAACCAAGGTCACCAGTCTCAGCTTTTCAACTTTGTTTGGGTTGTTTTCCACCCCAAAGGCTGCTGGAAGTTTAAAGAAAAACTCTCCTTTCCTGCGTGGAAGCTACAAGCAGCCTTGGGACAAGGACGTTCAGAGTTTAAACTCAACCAAGTGCTTCCCTCACTCAGTTGCATGCAATTATTTTGTCCATTTCATGTTTGCTTTTCGGCACACTTAATGTACCAGGGAAAGCGTGTTGCAACAGAAGGATCAGGACCATCAAGAACGTGGGAGAAGGCACCTTTCCACAGCATGACCTCGCTAATAATGTCCCCTGATGTCTATTCTGCGAAATCATCTTCATCTCTGCGCAGTGATGGATTACTTGGGCATTTCCAAATTACCAAACACCTCTAAGTGAAGCCAGCTCTAGATAAGACTGATTGATAGCTCATAACTTTTTGAACTTCCTTTGCCTTTACATCTCCTGTGATAGATCAGCATTGCTATTGCACTGCAGCCTTTTGGACAATGTATGTGTACAGTATGTGCTTATGTCCTGCTCTCAGAAGCCATAAAAGGCAATTACTGTAGGTAACAAGAAAAGAAGCAGCAACAAAAAAATATCCCAAACCCTGAAGCCACACTCTAGGAAATATGGATATACACGAACACAACAAAAAGTAAATAAATTCCTAGTAAAAGGAATTAATAGAATACAGATAGTAGCTTCTAATGCAGTTGTTCCCCGTGGCAAAAAATCCAAAAAAGAGAGCAATAAATCAGGCCTCTTGGGGCCCAGTTATGCACGTCTGGACAAAAGCAAGGAGACCGTTCCCCCAGCAGTGTCCTCGGTTCATCTATAGACATGTGGAGACCTCAAGGTCAGCAGACACCGACATGACTGTTCCTTCGCCCCTTAGCTGCGTTCAAGCAGACCTTGGAGCGGGACGGCTCACCTCCTGCTGATTCAGTGATCGCTGGGCAGCACTGGGCAGTTCTGTAGACGCATCACCAGACAAAGAAGGAAATTCATCTTTAAGCGACAAACACAAAAATACCCTACGTCCTCCTAAACAATGGAGGTTCCTTTTTGTACCATTTACGCTACTGTTAAAAACTATGTACTATTCTATTCCAGCTTTCACACAGTCAACACCCCGCCCCTGTAGGAAAGAGAGCACAGGTTGCCCACTCTCACTCAGTTTGGACTGCGTTGTGTACGGGATTCGGCCATCCTATCTCGAGACGGTAGTTTTTAAAGTAATAATCCCTCACGGATAAAGATCAAAACGACTTCACATAAAGGTGGGGAGCTTTGTTATCCACCAGTGAAGTTCACCTGGGTGATGTACAGCAGTAATTATATACAGCGTCATCAGCCCTTTAAATCACTGCAGCACAGTGGGTGGCTCCACTATCCAGCTATCACCATGCACAGCCTTGCATGCTAACCAATCCCTGTCATTTCTTCTCTGCTATTTGTTTTGATAGTCTCATGTCTTCTTGGTCCACAGTCACTTCTTGCTAGTGGTGCTGTGTTTTTGAGTGGTATTTCTCAAAAGCACAACTTATACATGCGTGAAAACTGTCACCTCACATGAAACGTCAGATCACTTGTGATTACATGTCAGTACAAACATTTCAGCTTTTTCCAAAGAGTAGCCATGTGACCTTTGTTACGATGAAAGTACTCAAGACAATGAGTGGCTCATCTGCATAATTCAGTTCTATACGTCTATTACCCCAGTCCAGCTCAGCTTCTAGGGACGAGAAAGTTTCAGGGTGTTTTCATATTATCTTTCATAAACACATTTCGGCTACTTAACCATGAAACTATGGAAAGAAAAATACCTTTTCAAAAGAATCAAAGCCTCTGTAGGGCCATCAAGATAGCATAATTAGAAGTTAACAAGTGTTTTTGACAGTGTATAACTGTGACTAGTGTGTGTAATCAATTCAGTAAACAAATTGCATTAATTAAAAAAACCCAGTGTGGCTCTCTTAAAGTAAAAAGCCTTGATCCGTGCTGCTAACCTAACTGCTTATGGTTTATGACTCGGCCCACGCATGTTCAGTTTCCATTCATTCAGACTTTTAATATAAGGCTGAATACGCTTCACAAAGAAAGACTCTTAAGCACTGATGGTCATACGTGCAAAGAGATTAATCTGAATAGGTATCTGTTCAAAGCGAAGAATCAAAACAGTTTTGATTCAAAATGTACCACTGACCTTAAGGTCTGGAGTGTTTAGCAGAGTGAAAAAGTAAAAATCCCTTTGTTCGTTAGAACTTAAAACTCTTTTTAATCTGCAGAAAACCTGAATTGCAGTTCAATTCTGTTAAAAACTGGCATGTTAATTAACTGCATAAAATGGAGTTTGATAAGTAATCATGAACCGGTGACCTTCTATGATGAATATGCTGCATACCATAATACTACAGAAAATGTAAATATTTTACAATTACAAAAATCTTCTTTTACTCTATACAATCGGGTGCATGTTAATACCAGATAGGTAGCTGGCTCTTGCTGTTATCGGGGAAGAAGAAAAATGGACCATATGCCTGCAACAGCAGACATTAACCTGATTTGAACCCTTGTTCCTAATAAACTGTGCAATAGGTATGACTGTACTGTAACGTTTGCAAAACTGAAAATTCGATTGGGCTCCTTTCTGGGTCTTGAAGATAACAGGCAGGAAGTCCTTGGTGTTACTAATGAGTAAAGGATACAAACGTGAAAGTTTTGTTCCACAAATATTTTGCCTCTGGTGAAACAGGCCACTCTTATATCAGGATGGCAGTACTACAGTGTTTTTCGCATTGCGATCGAGTTCGTCGCACATTACTTCACTACACTGTAAGAGAACATTTGCTGTCTGTTGCACACTTTCAAGACAGTTTGTACTAATCCCATTACAGAATTCAGTTATTGATCACCTGATGACACAACCTAACTCAAACAGAACCACAAACCCACAATCTCCCCTGTTTAATGTCTTCAAACATGACTCTATACCATTATGCTCCCCAGTTGAAATAATTATTTATGACATACAAATCTATTGATTCTCCATCCTTCTCTTTAATCTAGTCCCATAGCACACTTTTTTCATTTTTCATTCATGGGGAATCATATATATAAGTCTATGTGGACAGTGATTCTTTTCATACTTTCCCTTTTTTATGATTTTGCCGTCTTCCGAGTCTTGGAAAGAACTATTTTCACTAATTGCCTTAGGGTGGGGATATAGTAAAGCGTCCTTTGTAAACGCATTCTATTTTAAGGACTATGGCTCTGTTGAAAGTTGTTTTCCTAAATTAGTTTTAAAAATGCACCGTGAAAAAAGAGGGGGGAAGGGATACTTCTGTTCATCTTCGAGAACTACTGATGATAAAGAAATCTTATCACAGAAATATAACGAAAGGTTTTTACCGATGGAAAGACTTCAGTCCAGTCCCGTGGAATGCGTGTATTTTCGTTTTATTCACCTCCGGCGGTTTGAGCAAGGCAGACACACAAAGGGGGCAGCTGGAGCAAGAGCGTTTATAACAAAACGAAAAAAAAAGCGATAAGCGGTTTCTATCGGACAATATCAATGTATTGCCTTTTCCCAAGCATGGCAATTTCTCCGGAGGTGACAGCGCGTCACTAGAGCAATCAAGCCTCTAAGTACTACCGACAGTACAAGGCACCTCGCTCCTCCTGCGCGCAGAGCTGCTCCTGACAGCTGCACAGCGATGACCAGCGCTCGTAATCACAGACACAAAGCTCAAGACAGCACCTTCCTGCTTCTGGAGAAAGATTCACAAGGACATGTAAATCGTTACAGCCAACAGCACCTATCCGGGGCGCAAACATATCCCCTAAAAAAGGAATTTAACTGCTTTGTGTATGACAGCGTATAAACCTTAGCCAGTGTCCGTACGCCACACAGACGAACTGTATTAATTATTAATAATGATCTTAGTGTTGACATAACAGACCCTTTACAGTAAGTAGAATGTGGTGTCGAAATAACAGTTGACGCCGCTGAAATCCCTCAGTCTGATAGCCGTGCGGTAATGCGGAGCTGTTCCATCTCGCTCTGAATTTGCAGGCTGGTTGAAGGTGAATGAACCCCCCCCCCCCAACTCTGCCGACGCTCCACGGCACAATGGCCGTACAACACACACACACACACGCTCAGACACACGGCACATTCCTCCGACAACATGAGTGATACGCCGTGGTATTCGCCAAGCCTGAATGACAACAAACCGGCCACACCAGGGCTCCAGCAGCCAGGACCCGAGCGAGAAGCGATCCAGTTCTCCGGCACGCCGCCTTTCCGCTACGCGCCTGTCATTCCTCCTGTTCCAGAACATCAATCATACAGAGCGAGTCCGTGCCCTTGCTCTGCTCAGGTCTGATTTACAAACATTAGCAGGGAATACAATTACACAGTCCCTGCCTGAGTACCCTACTCTTGCACACACTGCGGCTGGAACACAAACTGCAGCCGTTTTCCTCTCCAAAAGGAGCCGTGCGTGCCCTACCACTGTGAAACACTGACGGTACCCCGTAAAAGAAAGCTTTATTCATATTACATAGACTTATTATAATCAATCGATCATTGTCCTTCGGATCCCGTTTCTTCTGCCTTTTGCCCACCTCCCCTGCTTTTAAAATAAAATGTCTTCTTCTTAAAAATGAACAAAAATTGGAGTTGCAGGCTTATATCCAGTTCTTCTAAGACCAACATCGTCACGATTGTTCCTGAAGAACGCAACCATCCAAACTTTTATTTAATTTTATGCCAACGACACTCATGCATATAGAATGGAATCCAGAATGAATACGATTTAAATTTGACCCGTACATGATAAGTGTGCGCTTCTCAAAGTTTTCTTTAAAAAAATTCCTGAGCACCACTGCAAAACACAAGCGCTACAATATATCTCTGACAAGCTGCAACGGTAACACTGCATTATTCCCGAAAAATATACATTGGCGGCAGATTAAACCATTTGCCTTTCAAATTCATTTTATGAACTTTACCAATGAATTAAAAGTTCTACAGAACCATACGAAATAACTTTTCGCGACCCCATTCATAAAGCAAAGTTTCGCAAAATGCAAAATCACACTTATTAAAATAACAATCGCAGCATTAATTATAATAATACTCCCTTGTTTAAAAAGAACGAATGGTCCGAACAGAAATCCAAGCAAAACCGCGAGAGATGAAATGAAGGCTAACGTGATAAAGTCACGCACCGTTATCATCTTTATAAAACCGATTTTAGCAGGAAAAAGTAAAGTCCCCGGGCAAGACATTGGCACGTATCAGAAAAGTTTCAATTTTCTTGCAAACAATTGTACAGTAGGCTCAAATCAACAAGATAAATATTTCAAAATTCGCAAATTGCCAGACAGCATCCCAGCAGTGTCGGAGAGTGCACAGAGAGCGCTGCTGCTGCTCTATGGTCGCTCTACTGCTGATCAATGATTGAACTGAACAAAGGCAGAAGAAGATCAATTTCTAATACCTATCAATGCAACAGCGCTGCTTTTACTCGCCAAAACTCGCCCCAAAAGCCTCTTTCTCCTCATTTTCCGGTAGAGCAGCCTTTATATTTTCATATTCTCCAGAAAGGTAGAGATTCGCACTAACCTGAAGCCGCCGTAGATCAAATTTCTTCCAATATTGAAACATCGATCCCACATCGGCGGCCATCTTGGGGGATATTGAAGCGAATTTTTTTTTCTCACCGGCTAGACTAAATATATGGGCTGGATTCCCTCCGTTAAACAGCGCTGGTGATTATTTCATTCCCAACGAAAAAAAAAAGTCGCCCAAAAACTGAATGAAGCAAAATCGAGACGTAGAGTAGATCTACCGACGGAAGGCCGTTTTAAAAAAACAGCAAAATAAGATGTATCCTGCATTTGTGAAGTACTGGAGATTTTTGAACTGAGCAATTGCACTTGACTTTGGTTTTGTAAAGTTACCAATACTGACGTAACACGTTGATCAATACCGTCTGGAAATAGGGAAAACAAAACAATTTAATTAACCGATGTTACACGATGCTTATATTTGAAAGTGGGACAGGTTCGTTTTTATTTAGGAACATATTGATTGTATTTAAATTAGTGTATTTAAGTGCCAGATGTTACTCAGTCTAAACGTAGGTAATAGCGTTACATATTTACCATGTAAATCTCAGTGTTGTGTATAACTAACACGGCGAACAATTCATTTAAAAAAACTTTTTCCAATACGCTTTCTGTAACACCTGTGTTGTAAATAAAGATTGTAATAGGAAATCCACAATAGGGCTAATCTGGGGTCATTCCACAAAACTACAGTTCAGCACAGACTTCTTATTTTATGCATTACCTGCTGCAAAATGTGTTACGTAATCCGTTATATATAGACGATAGATCGGTTGCGTTTTGGTGCAATCTGCGGAAACCAGTCCTTCTTAAATAATCAATTTTAAAATATCCACATTCATTAACACATAGTGTGTTACTAGCAACGTCTGGGTTGGGGAACAAACGAAATGTCCAGAGGGGGCCAGCGGGGTGCCATTAGTAACCTCCTCGTAAGTAACACTATCTCTCCTAAACAGGCGCACAGCACGGAGGAGTGTGTAATTGTGCGTTAATGCCCGTTCCTTATTGTAAAGGAGATCTTATCTCGTCTCGGCGGCGCTGCATTGATCGCGTTACATCTGAAGACACTTCGCGAAGAAAACAATGTACACATATGTATTTGCATATTTTAATGAGGCTGGAAGTCGGCGAACTCACGGGAGCGCAGGCGGGAGAGCCGAGAGGACGTATTGAAATAGCAATGCGTGTGTCACGTTTTCTCAAGCCTATAACCCTCATTCTCATGAGCCACCCTTTGGCCTATGACTCGCACTGAAAGTACTCAGTGTGCCTACTGTATAGGAGGAAAAAAGAGCCACGTACAGCACACAGTGGTGTTTATATTTTAATTTTGACCTCATAAACACTGGTATTGCATTGTTACGGAATATGCGTGGACCTAATTTTTCTGGTGATTTTTTTTTAGCAGTAAAGCCAAAGGTACCATCCTCTAATACCAAAAATACGTCTGTATTTTGCCCGTCCTATCATTTTCAAAAACCCAGTCGCGGTGTGCGAGCCCGGCAGGCATCAGGCTGCAGGGTGGGATAAACCTACAGTAGCAATGACACACAGATTAGACAGGGCGGGCAGTCGAGGCTGTGGGAGGACACCCGAGACTCTACCTGCCCTGCTTCAGCACAAGACCAGAGGCAACAACGTGGGAGCGCCACGCAGACACACGCCTGAGTGCTTGGATCCCTCTGAAATGCACACCGTCCACGCACAAGAGTTTCCCAGCAAGTGGCGACGATTTGACTCGTTATGTCAGGAGGCCTGTTTGACCAGAACAAGGCGGACCGCGCTGTTCCTGACCCAAGAGTGGAGTGCGCCCCCTACCGACCTACACCACGAGTTTGCGACCTCTTTTCGAGACTCCCAAGCGCTGGTTGTTATTTTGTGTCTAGATTGACCCACGACGAGAGAGAGAGAGAGCAAAGAAAGACTGGAAGGAACTAAGATCCACTTGTGTTCTGTAAAAGAAACTGTTTGCATGCCTGCTGTAAAATGTAGGATTATCGAGGCACCTCTAGCTCATTTGAGAAGGAATACACAGTGTTCTGTCTGTACCTGCTAACAGTAACCTACGCAGTATAAGTATGAAAAACTACATATTGATTTTTCCCGTATGTATAGGAGTATATTTAATACCACGATGTACCTTTTAATTAGTGAGGTCCAGGGTGCAGGTCCTGTACCTCTGAGGACTGTCCAGCAGGTATCTCACTCGCTATTGACATGCTTTTTTCATGAAGTGGTCGCTGCTGGGCCGCTTGACATCCACATCGTCAGTTTAGAAGGACGTTTCTCTAGCTGCAGTCTATAGTTCTCAATTGTAGATGTCTTTTAGTGAGGTCGGTGACTGGTTGTTTGTTGTTGTAGAAAGGGAATGGGAAAGCCTACAGCTTGTGAAATATAATGCGTGAGACTATTATGAGGCTTGTTTCCAAACCGATTTTGTTTTGTTTTGGTAGTAGCACAGTAGTAGCTTTAAATTGCTTTTTGGTAATGATTAAGTAGGAGAAGACCCCTACACGTGTGTTTCATTTGATCAAATTGCGACCTATGTTTGTAACATAAAACAAGTGAGGAAAAGCAATAAATAATAAAATCCCTCTTGTTCAGATACTAAATATCAACTTTGGTCCTAGATGTCTGGTCAAAGATAACATTAGCCGTGTGCATGCAACCTGTTACTCTACTCTCCGTGGGCATTTTAGGAGCTCATCGCTAGTTATCTAGGTTACTGAATAATTATCTACAAATACTTTCCCCCTCATTCCCCCCGGCCCAAGACTAGTTTTAACCCCGAGATCTGCTGCCTCAGTCTCACTCCTGCCATTCGTTGACTTATAGTTTGCCTGCTTTTTGCTTAAATGTTTAGAATTCTTTGCGAAGTCACGTTAGATCTCATTATGATTTGAAAGGATGCCCTATTCGTGTAATTGCTTCTTTCTTACTTATTATTATCTTCCTGAGACACTCGAAGTTCTGTTTGATCAATCAACACCGTGTTCTAATTGGACCAATAGGTCACTAGATTTAACTAAGTGTACGTATTGTACACTTGTGTGTGTAAGGTATGGTGGGGAGGGGATTGTATAATCAATGACTCGTTTGAATACTGCACACTTCACCGGATTGGGACGGACAGTCGAAAACACGGGCCATTATATGAGACGTGAGAAACTCAGTTTTCTCTGTCTGACTTGGGTTGAGTTAACCTTTTTGAAGCTCACACCTGGAAGAAATAGATGAGCAGACAATTTTCCAATGTGAAGTTTACTGTATCTTTACCGAACTGAAATTGTAGTCTATTCTAAAGTGTTCTACACATCTCCAGTCTGGAGAACTAGCACAGCTCAAACATTTTAGTGCACAATGTATTATTTTGGTCAGAGTATAACGTATCAAATATAATTGAACTAGATGTTCTTTTTTTAAGGGACGATAACCCTCTTAATATTTATGCAACGTGAATTGTGCATTAAAAATATGAAACGACAGCTTCCGGTGCCCTCTAGTGTCAATACTGCTTTAATGCAGGAGAAATGTTTCAATTTATACAGTGGCTCCGAATGATTTTGGATCAAGTGAGATTTTTTTTTTCCAGAACGTGAAATTGGACATATTGTAAAACACGAGAGTCAAAAATATAAAATATTTTGTAAAAAAAACGTAAAACAACTCGACTTATACAACTTAAAATAACATGGTTTACACCAAAGAATTCACGTGACACTGCAAGTTTTTTTGGGTTTAGAAGAGAAACCAAAATGGACCTTTTAAGTCGAAATGCCTAAATCTGGCACCAAACCAGCTCGGTGCATCATCCAGTCAGCACAATCTCTAGTCACGCATGGTGGTGGCAGTATCATGCTGTCGGGCTGCTTCTCCTCAGCAGGGGCTGGAAAGCTTGCTTGGACTGAAGAAGAAATGCACAGAGCAAAGTACAGGCAAATGTTAGGGGAAAATATGCTTCAGATTCAAGTCTTTCCTTGAATCTGATTTCTGACCACTTCATTCGATTCAGGATCACAGAAGAGCCCGAGCTTATTCTGGCACAAGAATGCACAAGGCAGGATGCACCCTGGATGTAAACCAGTCTATCACAGGGCAGGCTGACACTCATAGCAGGGCCAGTTT